AAACCTTATTTTATTTATTAATAATTTAGATTTTGTCAAAAAGAAAAATATTCTCATAGTAAATTTTATTCCATCAAATAAAATCTTGGATGGTGTAGAGTGTCAAATTTATCCTAATCCAAATGGAGAAACGGTAACAATATTAAAACTACTCAGTGCGTTTCAAAACTAAGTTTGTGACGGTAATTTACCAACGCCGCCGTTATAATAAAGCTGTTAAAACATGCGTTAAATAGTGACTGAAAATTTCACCGCAGCGAAATCCGTACGAGTTTACGCGAAATTATACAATGTTTGTCTTGCCGTTTCGTATTTTTATAATTCGATGTTTGTTTAAAGTAAATCTTCGCCGATGTATATGAAATACGTATGGGAACTATAAACTCGAGAAGTTTACTCAACTCGCATAAGTTGTAGAAGATGACACGTAGGGTTGTCTTCGCCTCATTTAGCGGCCGTTTCTCCAACACACTAAGCACAAAAGTCAACACTGACTTTGAAGTACCAGTAATATGTGGTTTGCTTCCGCTTAGTTTATTTATGTACTATGCCAATTTAATCAGCGTACATACGTATATTTGGTTTCAGCCAAATATTGAGCAGCTTTTTTGTGGCTTACATCTTTCAAAGCCGTGGATTTTTAAATTTAATGTCCTTCGCTATCTTTTGAAATTACATACTTTAAAGAGCGGTGAAATATTCATTAGTAGCCCGGTTTTTACTAACTCGTAATTTATGAAGTTTTATAGCTGCTTTGTTAAGCGCAGCAAAAGTTTGTTATTTTATTTTCGAAAAAGTCCCAGTTTTTTCTCGCTTAAGATATGGCCAGAAAGTTTGCATAGTTGGAAAGAAACCGTTTCACGCTATTTTACCATTATACTTTTAAATAGCTTTAACGTTTCATCAATAAATAATGGTAAAATACCACAAAATGATTTTAGTTTTTAATGCTTTCGTGTTGAAACGGTCAGCCAATCACAACTGCATGGTTTTTGGAAACAACAATTTAAACAATTAATTTCTAATAATTACGTAAAACTCACTACAGGACTTAGGTAGGTACAGACAATCAATTAGTAATTTTTTTCGGTTTACGTTTAACGATATCGCAACATTCGCAACCACTCCATACGTAATACCATTTGAGGTTAACCATAGCTTCAGAAATAGCTTTTGCAATTTATTTTCTACCTGCTGATACTCAACTTAGTAGAGAGTGTGCTATTTTGTATTATCTAGACAGGAATATAAGAGAACAGAACAGACGAGCTTTTGCACATCCTCTCAGAATCGCAATTGGAAGGAAGATTAAAGTTAACCTAAAATAAACGTCCACAACTTGATTCGATTTATTATTTAAATTTCTATTCCGAGAGAAGGAACGGGAGCTTTTCTAGAAAATTAATTTGCGTTTTTTTTGCGAATTGAATCAATGTACGATTTACGGATAGAAACAAAATCTGGCTATCCAATTTTAAATTGCGCTCAGTCTCGAAATTGATTTTGCATTAGGTTTCCAATTTTAGTATTACTTTTTTTTTTCTTATTTTACTTACCGAAAATCCCCTTTACCCACATTGCTCAAGCCAAGCATTGATAAATGTCAGCATGAATGTGACATCTGATATATAAGGATGACTCGGGGAAGCATTTCATATGGCGAGGAATCGGTAAGCGCTCTTTTAAAAGTCGGCATAAATTTCTTAGAGCTTATATCGATTTTCTGGGTACATTTTCAAAGCTTGAAAATAGAGCTTTTATATGCTGAGTGCAATACATAACGTGGAAATTTTTCTTATGTAAAAAAATACTTATATGGATATTCGGGTGACAGATATGTTATGGTTTTTGCTTCGGTGAAATTGATAAGTCACATTAGGCGCGTTGTTTCAGAGACGATGATGTGACACAAAAATAAATGATACAATGACGCATTAAATAACCGTACGAAATGCGGGAGAAAGAATGGAGACGAATTACGGCGATTTTTGCTCAAGCTCCCGCAACAGCGGTTACTGCTATTGGCATATAGATTTATCAAGTTTATGGTGCATCTATGAATTATTTCCTTTTTCAAAATTTTCCCGTTCCGAACACTCCATGCTGTTAACAAGAAAATTGTCGATTTATTACCGCGACGAATTTATTGATTGAAACAAAGTGATGACGTTCATTATTTCATTGTGCAGAGCATCTTTGCTCGATTAAGCTGAGCTTTGAAAAGTTGTGCCAAATTTCGCTTACTTTCTCGCATTTCAATTGCTCATTCATTGGCAAACTTTATTATTACTGCGCAATGTTGACTTTACGTCCTTATATCTCACTTTTTCATAAAATAATTCGAGTTTCAGGTATTTTGCGGGATTTATATTTTAACCCTCTAATATTACTAGAACGAGTCCAAATCAAATTGAAACAATATTTGTTCATTAAAAAATACTCAAAAGGCTGCTATATTTTACAATTACAGTAAGGCAAAAGTATGCCGTTAAACGTTGTTGCTTTTAAAAATCGTAAACAAATCGACTTGGACAGAATCTTTAAAAGACAAGTGAATGGTAGGTAAGTTTAAATTTTAACATATTTGACTGAAATATTTGAAATTTGTAAGATTGAAAATTATTTTTATTCTAGTTAAGCTGCTTTCAGAGGTAAATGTAGGATCGTCTTAAATTAAGAGGACCCCTACGATCGAAATGAAAAGATCCTATACGAGCTGATTACCTGGATCAAAATTTGTGTTGAGATATGTACCTATGTGTGTTTGTTCCTTCCTCGTGCGGCAGTCAGGAATTTTACCTATATAGGAAGATTCATTCAAACTTCGACAAATTTTGGTCAAGTATTCACACTAAATAAGTACCTACTTAACATTACTTTGTGCATGTGTGAGTAATGATTATATCAGCAAGTTGTGCCCCGAAGAATGTTTCATTTGGTAATTATAAAAGTATTGTCAATACCAAAATTAAAAAATTGTAGCTTTGCCTATATTTAATACCAAGTGAACTAAAGTTGGGGTTTATTTAAATAATCGTTATGTTTGGATTGGATAGAATTGTGTAATGTGATTGTGTTTTTTTCAGGATTTGCGGGCACCGTGTCATCAAAAAATGTTGTTATTGGGTTTTACGATTCCCAGGGATTGCAAATATCTTTAGTGGGATCCCCCATTTGTCTAGATTATGTGAATATTAATGTTTAGGGGGCCCAAGGAATATTTCCTTAAGAGTTATCCATAAATAGTGTCCTATTTTAGAGGTGTCGCCGAAAAGTCACTTTTTAGGTCCGCCGATGATCACTGTTTCGCGACCGAACCGCCTCCAAATTATAAAATTTTGTTGAGGGTTATTAGTTCGTTGTGGTTTCTGTACTTTGTTGACTGTCCTTGTATGTATGTCCCGATTACAAGCCTGTTTATTTACGAAAATGGAAACAGTTTCATTAAATATTAAGAAATTGAGTAAATATTAGAAAATATAAAAAAAATTAAAATGGTGAACTATATCTGGTCGTTGTTCCTCACTTTTAGACCATTTAATAACACAACACAACATTTCATAAACTTGACAGAATTACGAAAATTGCACCTTAGATTTAAATAGGTAATTGCAATACGCTTTTGGAATATACTGGGTTTTTTGATTTAACTAATCTACACTTTCTTCTGTGGATATGAATCTCTCTTCTAAAAAATGTTTGCCAATTGCCCAAGTAAAAATACAGAGTTAAAAAACCGCAATTTGATATCTACAAAATGTATAGTGGGTATGTAGCAGGCACATGTAACTATAGTAGTGCAAGTTTCCGTTAGGAAAATGCTTTTTTGTGAAAGCGTTTCGAAATTGACAAATTTTGATGTTGATTAGAATTTCGAAATTACACTCTTTTAGGCACTAGTGCCTAAATGTGAAAGTTTTAGGCACTAGTGCCTAAAAATAAACATGAAACATTAAAATCAATGAAAATATCTATTTATTATAAATATTAAATGTACAATTATGTAAACTTTTGAACTGAATGCAATAAGGTTTGTAAATTTGCTAATATCTACGGTTTTGTACTAACGTGGATAGCGATAGTTTGTTCAATATCCAAAGACTCGTCAATATTACTCATTTTTGCAGTAATTTTGTCGCAAAACTGCCGGAAAGACGGCAACACGCTACGTTCAACCTTAACGTCACACTTGACATTTAAATATATAAATATATTGCCTGCCTACTTTTCAAAATGTTTAAAAATACTAATAAAACTATCAAATTCTCCGCTTTCACAAAAAATCTTGTAAATAATTCGTTACGAAACGATGTCTTTTAGTCACTAGACGTGTTGTCCAACTCGGCTTTGCCTCGTTGGACAATTTTCACGTCGTGTGCCTAAAAGACACTCATTTCGCAACTTATTGTATAAATAGCTATAAAAAGGAAACGCATGCCTGCGCATACCTATTTCAACACAAACAAATTCATGAAATGAAATAGATCACAAAGTTTGGCTGTTAACACCAAAATTGGATGGTACAGTTTTTTTGTCAAACTTTGAAGCTTGAAGTCATAGAAGGCTTCTTTGATACGCCCGCGCTTTCCATCAAGGCACAAAAATTATATTAGTGTCTTCCTTATGGTGATCTTTTTTTAGTCAATTTGTTGGTACAAAATTTATGCACTAACTTGGCAATGAAATTTCATTTGTAGACTCGATACCGCCACACTATTTTTTTTTCTTAAAACATCCTCTCCTAAGCCAAAAACGTGTTGGGTGAAATGGATATTTAACGCTTTCGGTCATATTTAACGCTATCGGTCATTATATCAAATTTTTGATTTCTACACCCAGAAAGGTGTGTATTCACTCAGTTCTTTAGTTATAAGGCAAAGTGAACACTATCGGAAAACGTAATTTTACGATCGGAAATATCTTTTTAAACACTATAAACCAGTTACAACACTTTCGCAAGAATTTAGAGATAATTAATAATAATAATTGACTTACATTGTATCTCGACGCGTGGTCAATGCGAACTGAGGCGATCTGAGTCCTTCATAACCGCGCTACAGGTTTGAGGTTAACGTGGAACTGATAAGGTGACGAGGGTGTTACACCAGCGTATGACGAATCACAATTCCGGCCGTCCGCATGATAGTCCAAACGTTGAAAAACTGAAAACAAATCTTTTAGTTACACTTAAAACACAAAGATTTAAAAATTTTGCACTCCTAGCGAACCACTTTCCATATAGTTAACATATAAGTGCCCGAACATATCAAACGTTGTGTACGTTATTCCAGTTGGACCCAATCACAAAAACGGTTCTGATTAGTGGTTGGCCAGTCTACAAAATGAAGTGAGCAATTCCGAAAATTTGAAATCCCATGATAATGGACCTAAAATCGTAATAAAACCTTCCTACTTTATGTCAGGAAATTTTAGTTTTCCACGACAGAGGCAGTAAACCTTTACCAGACTACTTTTCCTGTCGCCTATCACTTTATTGGCCGTACTTGTCACTTTCGAAATGTCTATAATTACTTCTGTCATCACTGACATCAAAAGTTTTATATGAAATTTTATATTAAAGGAGGATCCCGTGTAAAATTTAACACACAACTCTTCAGTAAAGTACCACTACTTGACTGATTTTAAAGTACTCGGCCCCTTTACTCGACTCGAAAGCGGTCTCGTACTTCAATATTTCTTCGCCAGTAATTTGTTATTTTCCTAACTTTTATGTAAACAACTAAAACACCAAGTTTGGCTGGAATACCAATATTGGTTGGTACAGCTCTTTTGTGAAAGCTTAAAGTTATAGAAAGCTTGGATAGGTATTTATGGGCCTTTTCTCAATGCACAAAAATTAAATTTTGTGCCCTCTCTATGGTGAGCTTTTTTTTAGTCAATTTGTTAGTGCAAGATCGTCATTGCTTCGTCTACTTGGTATATTCATTCATGCCCAGTTGCACCAACAAAATTAAACCTTGCTGAAAGTTAAGTCGAACTTAAAATCTATGGCAACGATTATTAAGACAATCGTTCCTATGGTATTTAAGTTATGCTTAACTTTAAGGGATACTTAATTTTGACGATGCAATTGGCCATAGTGCTTTAATTACAAAGCAAAGTGAGCATTTTCTAAAAGCTCAAAGCGTAATTTTACGATCGAAAAAGAACACTTTAAAAAAACTTGTAAGCCAATTACAAAATTTTCGCAAGAATTTAGGAATAATTAATACATAATACAATAATTGACTTACATTGTATCTCGACGCGTGGCCAATGCGAACTGTGAGAAAAAGCGGCCTGAGTCCTTCATAAACGCGCTGCAGGTTAACGTGGAACTGATAAGGTGACGTGACACGTTACGCCAGCCTATGACGTGTCGCAATTCGGCTGTCAACATTGAAAAACTGAAAACACAAAAATTTAAAAATTTTGCACTCCTAGCGGACGACTTTTCATATAGTTAATATACAAGTGCCCGAACATATCAAACTTATCCTAAAGGAGGACGCTTTTTTTTCGAAACTTTTCTCTCACCTTATGAGGCGGTGTTCACTTTCCTAAAAAATTATAAAAGATGAACAGGCCTTATGATGCAGATGCAACATCAATTTATATTTCCACTATTAAAAATGTCCACCCGTAGTAGAGGTGGAAGGATGAACATTTCGTTCATTTGTTACCTTCCACAAGCATTTTCATCAACCTGTACGTTATTCATGTTGAACCCAATCACAAAAACGGTTCTGGTTAGTGGTACAAAATGAAGTGAGCACTTTCGAAAATTTGAAAACGAAGAAATAAATCACATGTTAATAGACCCAAAGTTAGATTGAACTTTCAAATGGAAAACTCGAAGTTTCATTGAAAATTTTACTCCTCTTGTGTGCAATAATTTTTGTACTAATGCTGTTTTACAATATCGACCAGTACAAAAATGTGAAAAATCGAAATTCGACATTGTGAAAAAGGCACTTGCGCTTGTGGCGTCTAAAATTGACAGCCGCGAAATTTTCCTGTATCTCTCGGAGAAAACGACAACAAAATTTGCTAACCAGGTACTCAAAATCGATCTACTAGGCATGACAATAGAATCATTTGTTCAAAAAAGTCATTTATTAATGAGCAAATTTCACCTAGCGATTCGCGTTCAAAATCTTGACTTAATTACCAGCACCCGTGACTCAACAACCGCTGCCCCCGGTGTGACTCTTGTAAATGAACGGGTCATGTTTCAGCAGGTTGTATATCAACTCTCATCCAACAGAAAACTGAGAAAAAAATCTGAAACTCAAAATTTTGTCGAAATAAACTCTTTCCATTACTTGCGTGATGCCATCAACCAAATTATCGACATTTTCCAGCCCTGATTTTGTTGAGGTTCTCATAGAAGGTAAACCTCAAATCAAAGTGGATTCTAGTGCTGATGGCATGACGCTCCTTCCGGAACCTGATTTTCAAAAACTGAATTTCAATAAGTGCTCAGGCTCATGTTCAATTTCGTTCCGACATCTCAAGAATATTCAAAACTCTTGGTGTTGCAGAAGTTACAGTACCGTACTGTGACCGAACCGAACTGCTGCTCAATTTTACCCACCCCTGGATAGAACCTGGATAATTTTGTGGGGGGAGACTATCAATTTCTATTAATTTAAAATTCAATTAAGCAATAATATAGATTCTCATCACATAATTTTTTTAAAGTCTTAAATGCCTCCATTTGACGGAAGCAAATGTATTCATAAAGGAGGACTGGAGCTGAAAAATTCTTTTTTATTTTATAAATCTTGTAAAGTTTTACTTTACCTGCAAGTAATGTTCGCGAAATGCGGCTTTATTTAAAATAAAAAGTTTAACAAATTGCAAATGACGTTAGCAACGTGCACGACCATTCAACTGCACATAAGCTTTCGTTAGAATTGCTTTAAACTTAGGAAATTTCAAGCTTTTTGTTTTTCTAATTTGTACTCCAACTTCTTATATAAAGTTGTCTACTTTTACAAAGTGAGGGAGACGCCAAATAAACGTCGACGATTCCCGGACGTGCAACACTAATATATAAGTCCGAGGAATGTTTATAAAACAAATCAATTTGGAAAACGGAAATTGCTACAACTCGATCGGTCTCTGGTCCAACCGCTGAGCATTTTACGCTCGTCTTAACTTCTCTTGTTGCATTTCGCGTTTTCCTCTAGCAAGATAGGCGGTTCTTCTCCCCGAAATGTGTTTGTAACATCTAAAATTCCTCCCTAAGACTCTTACAATAAAACAGCACTGAAACTTCTGAGTCATGCATTTACCCTTCCCTTTACCAGAAGTTCAGGACGCGCGTCAGTCAAGCGTTTTTTCTTTCTTAATATTTTAAGGGATCATCGAAAAACTCGCAAACTAACTGTCGACAGAAAAGTATACGCATAACAATACGCGCGTATACTAATTTGTGGCATGGAAAATTCACCTTTTTCGCAACGGTTATAAGGAGAAATGATCTTGTTGTCTGTCTACCCTCTGCAACGACGTCTAAGACAGTAAAAACAGTCCGAACTGTGTTTATCGGCCGTAACAAATCGTTAAGGGGTGACATTACGGCTGAGCAGTATATTTTTCGACGATTTTTCTATGGAAAACTGCAATTATTTCACTGGACTGATAAATAGAAAAGTTTCCAACGATATATAGAGATGGCCGGAATTTATCTTCGTCTCTAGCTTGTCGGCGTAGAAATTGATTTCAAAAGTTTTTCCTACTTGGATTTTTTCTAGGCGCTATTCTGTTTGGGTTCCGTAAAGATGATATACGCTCAAGCTGTATACTTATTTTAAGTTAAAGGGAAGGTGGAATGCGAGAGAGTAGGTTAAATGGGCGAACGCGTCTGATGTGAATACGCTTTTTGAAATGTTGATGAACCGAGAAACACATTCAAGATAGCGTAACATATCCGGAATTAAACCTTTAAATAAATAAAGGCGGAGGGTGCAAATGGAATTGAAATGTCTAATTTTTTGCGCGTTTTTTTCCCCGAGTCATATCTTCCCTCGGCTTTGCTTGATGAATTTAATTAAGCGTGGTTAGATAGTATTAAGTATGTTAGTTAGTTTCAACTGGATTACGCGAAGGAATTTGAAGCTTTGTTACAGCAAAACCGCTTATTTAAATACGAATGCAGTTTCTGCTGTATGATGAGGTTAACTCATTAAGAAGAAGTAATTGGCTTCTTAGAAACTAACTTCTTTAGCGTTCACAGTTTCATTTTATAGAGTGGTGAAAAAAGGTACACCATTTTGGCCCTTATTCGTCTATCATTAGTCAGTTGACTCCGCATACGCACTTTCCAATTACACTCTGCGATTTTACGCAGACCACATCGAAAGGGTCCTGCATTATCCCTTATTAATATAATTTATTTCCTCGTGCAACCTCATCTGAAAAACCGATACCTATAACTTTCCCTTTACAATGTTTTTCCATAAGGGGCGGACCGTGAATTTTCATCCCTTGTGCGTCTACCTAATTAACCAAAATAATTGACATTTTATCAGGAAACTGTATTCCGTAATATTCATGGCGAGATTACTTCTGATGTTATGCATGAGTAGGATATCGGAAAGTAGCAGAAGATCGAGTAAATCGGGAAAGACGATTTAAATGCACCTTTAAAAAAAAACCTGCACCTATACCTAAATATCTTGCAAAAAACAATGCATACATTTTTATTATTTATCTATTTATTTATTTATTATTATATTACAGTGGAACCGAATTTTTCTCTTCAGTGGTATGTGTTTTATGGGGTGTATCAATTTGAAAAGTGACCTAGAAATATATCAGAAGCGTAAAATAATACGAGTATACCAAGAAATGCCCAAAATTACTTGGAACGGAGTTATAGGCCTCGAGTTCCTCACCGTAGGATTTTCGAATAATTTCTAGGAATTTCAAAACATTTTTGGCATGTCGAAGTATTTTCTGGCATTTCGAAGCATTTCAGAGGTATTTTAAGGGAATTTATTGTGGTTATTTCATTCTGTGGATGTATAATAATTAAATCCTGGCAGAACCACAAAAAAAAAACAAGAAAAAAAAGTAAACCAAGTCTTTCAAACAGTAAGGGTAGAATTAAAATGAGACTCAGAATCTAATTATGATTCCACTGATCTGGAAAGCTTTTCCGACTTTCAGCAAGAGACGTGAGAGGATTTTCTTTAAATCTTGATTGAGCAATGAGCAGAGTACTTATCCGTTTGGGACTCACAGAATGGGTGACTGTTTTATTTTGGTTATAATTCTTTTTGAATTAAATAAATCATAAAATACCCAAAACCGTATAGAAGTATGTAGGGGTAACCAAGCTGAACACATCGGTCAAGTTAGCCTGGAAAATAGGAGTACCCTCACATAAATTCCCAAAAAGCTGAAAATTTACATGAACGTTAAGGATATAATTATAATGAAATTGTTAGTTTTATGATAATAACAGTTTATCCACAAAAATTGCCCTTACACTTTTCCCCTAAGATTCAGTATTTCTGAGAAAAAGCGATTTACTAAATAGTGCGGGTGTTATAGGTTTCAACCTTGCATTTTGTGATAACTTTATGAAACTTTCAGAGGATGTTCTAGACACCCTAAGGTTCAATTTCAGCTATGCCGCCACCCCCGCAACCCCGGACGGCACTTGCTACAGCGGGTTTCTTAAGTGCAAGAGGTAGCATTTCAATACCCGCCCATAAAATGGGTCAAAAATGTATATCCAGGGTTTGTTTTGTACTTTCTTACATCTAGGAAGGTTGAAGGGAATTGTCAAATACCCAGGGAGAATTTATGTAGGGTATTTTACGTGGTTTACCTATTTTTAAGGCGCTTTTAACAGTGCGGACTAGGGAATGCAATCCCGCAGCAAAATCTCAATCCCGATATTTGCGGGATTGTTAGTTGTTAATATAACAAATTAACCAACTTAAACAATATCTAAATTTATAAGAAAAAAACTAACATTAAAGGGGAAATTTAACAAATTTTACAGAAATTATTTTAATTGAACGTATAACGGCTATTGTCCTCCGAGATAAATTTTTGCAAACGATAAGAATGAAATGAGATTGATTTCATTGCGTTAACGAGATTTATCCAAAATGGAGGATTCGTTGTAAAGCGAGCGGTGGATGATGCAGATGCACTTATTGTTAAAACCGTTTAATGAATAAACATCCGTATAGTCGGCGAGGATGTTAATCTCCTTGTTCTCTTCCTCGCTTTAACACCAGAAAATAAAGATATCTTTTTCATAAAGCCAGGCAAAGGCAAAATTAAGAGGAACATTTTTTCGTCGGCAGAAATCCAAAAATTAACCGAATGTATAAAAAATACAATCTTACTGGTCCATGCCTTCAGTGGTTGTGATACCCAGTGTTATTTCAGAAGGGTAAATTACAAAACGAAATTTAATTGGCTAATATAGTGAGAACTTTCAATGACGAAATTCAACACTATCAGAAGTAAGAAAGGGTGGTGAAGCCCTTGACCCTTATCATTAGGGAGCCCTTGGTTCCTTGAAAAATATACAGTGTTTCCCAAGGAGAACGCAGCATAGGGAAACAGAAATAATGTATTTTTTCGCGAAAGATCCACAGGCCTTTGAAATTAGCGTTCCACGTACCACTCCAATCTCTTTCTAGCATCAGGCCAGCGCAATAACGTACGTTGAACTTTAACTTTAAATACATATCAAAGGCCTCTTGGATCCCTATGGTGCGTTCTCCTTGGGAAACACGATATAAGTTTCAACTACTTCGCAATGTTCTTAACTGAAGGATCATTTGTCCTAATAATTCTCAATGCAATCAATACTTTTTTTCGTTGTTTGTCAATAAAGCTTCATTTTTCGATTCCAAAAGGAACTGTAAATATCAGGTTAAAAATACATGTGCGATTATTTGGGATAGAGGAACACTTTGTGAAGCAATGTTTCGAATTTACATCTTTGGTTACTATATCTCTTCCATATACCGAGCATCACGGCTACGTACGTATGTATGTATGCAATGGCCCTTTTATTTTCCAATAAATCAACACGAAAAAAATCTTTCCGAAAGAATCTCCATATTCGTCGCTTTTAGTCGCAAAGGGATGATAAAAAGAAATGGCGCCTTTGTATAAATAGAACGAAACCTAAAAAGAGTGTTTGTGCATTATTTGTTACATATGGCATAAAAATCCTTATTTTTCAGTTACATCCCTCTGTTGGACTGAGTGTGTATAAGGGAATAGCGACTCACAATCTTCGTCTCAAGGAAAACGTAACGAAAACGAAAATGCGTCTACCCCCTTCGGCTACGTGGAGCACTTGGGCGTCACAATTGAAAGAGCAGCGAAAATTAAGATGGTTTTCAAAGCCCACCATTGATTATATACATTGTGTCCCTAAACTGAAGTAAAAATAAAGTTTATCCAAGTGTGTTGTTGTTGACTGTCGCATGTGGATAAAGTTGGTAAGTACAAAAAATTTCAATTTTGTGCGCTGTCAATCTAACACTTTCCTCAATGCCACCGGATACGATCTCAAGCAATATTGGCAACCGTGCGACTGACAGCTTTACATTTCTATACAAGCTTAGGTGGACGCTTTCGCCGGAAATAACCTTTCTTTTTCACCTTTTATCGTTGATTCCCGATGATACTTCATTTAGTGGTTTTCTCGCGTTGGCTATAAATTCAATTTGGATTAAATAATTAGGAAATGACAAAATTGAATGAGTACGGTGGATAAGTTGAAAATACTCGCTTTTGGGAAATACAAAGGAAATCTCGACGGGAATAAGTCAGGCCGAATTCCGTAGTATAATTGGAAACATTGGTTAATAGAGTCGAGTCTGTGGATTTACCTCTATCACAATATCGTTTCAGCCACAGTTTTTGGAATTAAAACGCGAAGACTATTGTTGCAGGATCTCGCCGTATATAATTGAAAAGTGTAAGAGATAATTCCAATCCCGTCGGCGTATAAATTTAATTAAATATAAATACAAGTAGATTTTAAAGTCGATTAATAATCAATTTCATTTCATATAATTCAGTCGAGCGTAACATAATTTCATTTTGATGTGTTCTGTTTGTAATGAAGTTTTAGTTTCAAAATTCCACGAATTTGTTTGCTTTCATGTGCTGTTCCTATCTGAAATTTATACCGAAAACTCGATAAAACTTTTTGATTGTGTAACTATCGACGTTAGCAACAATGATGGCAGTAATGGGAAATGAAATTTTCCTTTTTGAGCGGAAAGATCTTTAATTTAATTTACATTTTTTTTTTCTGTGAGGAGTTGAGAAACACCACATCGTAGTGTTTCCTGGCAGCATTGAAACTGATTTTGGTAAGTCTTGTTCAAGTTTCCCTGGTTTAAAATAAACATTTCGCTTGTCCAATTGATTGCTATAAAGTTCGATAAATCTATATACATTCAACTTAGTTTCGTGGAATATTTATTGGGATACATGATACATCCCACTTCTGATGTAAAAATACGATAGATATAGGATGGGGTGAGGTGGTTTTGTAGAGTAGTTACACTTACACTCCTGAATTGATTAGTATTTTCTACCGTCTTGCTTGGATGTCAAGTACGAAGTATTTCTTTTACTTGGCGAGATACACAAAAAATTGTCAAATATAATTTGATAGGTATGTGACACCTGTCACTTTTGAGGCCGCACCTGTCACATTGCTAAATGTCTATGATATCTGGTGTCATCTTATCAACATTTATTGATTTGACACGGCTTATGTGACTTGTCACGATCATATTTATAATATATATCAATGGGAACAACAAACAAGAAGAGATAAAGTTAGCAAATCGGAGAACTGGTATTAAAACTGACAGAGAAGAGATAATAGGGAATACTAAACAGAAACATGGAGAGTCACAAATGGAGTTAATATGAATGGGGGAGAAGGGGCCTCGTACTGAATCATATAATAAATGAAAAGCAATGGAAGAAGTAAAAGATTCATCGTGAGAACAATGACGGAATAGGATCACCAGTCGGTGGAGTTAATTTTAAAATAAAAAGTATGAATGGAAATCACTTTAACATCATCAAGACAAAAGAATGCGCAAATATAAATTATAGAAAGGCTGGACAAATGAAAATAAGAAGAATGTGAGAACACAACGTACTTGTGGAAAGAGATGAAGTAGTGTTTGAAGTGCAATACTCGTATATCACGGCAACAGGGAAAAAAGAGGCTTGAACTTGGAACTTTTCCGGAAATTTATTTTTACAACCGTACCGGATTTAAATCTTTTGCCTTTTTGCACTTTCGCCAATGGCATTTCTTTGCGTCCGTACCGTTTCACTTTGCTTTGCAATTGAGTTGCCGCACCATATTTTTTGGAATTGGCTTTTAGGGAGGGTTTGCTACCACTCCGTTAATTTCAAGGTAAGTTTTTTGTTACTTTACGTTCATAGGAGGGGGGGGGATATGGTTCGCTTCCCCGTAATTACTTTTCGGCCGGTTTCGCTGATTTATGTTTAGCTTTTATTCCCGCCGTAATTTTGTTTTAATTTTCCGAAGTGACAGCCGCCATCTTCTGAACTCGTCCGATCCTGGGAACGCCGTTCTACGTTCGAGTTACTTGGAGCCCCCGACAAGGCCGTTCCGAATCCTGACCAGGAGCAGGGTTTCCGAAAACCTACTGGTGGCGCCCGAAGCATTCCCGTTCCGCCTTTTCTTGCCACATTTCCACCGACTATCGCCGCCGTCACCATCTACATATTTTGTATTATAAATTACCGCTGAATGTTTTTTGTTCTTTCTATCATTAAATTTCATTTTGTAATGATATCGTTTAATTTGTGTTTTTTTTGTGAAGGAGCACCGAAGCGACTCATGGTGCGCGAGCTTCAGGAACTTCATCGGAATTGATGCCTACTGAGCCGATGTAAATTAGTAAATTTAGTATATGCTTAAACAGACCTTCATGTGCCAAATATGCCAAATTTCTAATCGGTAAAGTTCTTTCGACCATTCAATTTGAAAAATTTGGTTTGACAGCGATGACATTTTGTACGAATATAATTCCGAAAACCCGAAAGTTCTACGATATTCCGTTGTCGAGATATCTCGATCGATTTATAAAAGTCGCCAAAAGAGCGGATAGTGAGAATCAGAAATGTCCTAAAAATTAAGAACAACTTAATGAACTTATACGAAGAGCATAGGCAATATGTAGGAGGAGGATAAAAGAGAAACGGTCAGAGGGAGTTTTCAGCAGATAATCAACTTAGATACAGGAGCCTCCATTCGGCTCTGCAGTAATATCATACATCCGTGATATTTATCAAGAAGTAGACAGGGATTTACGTGTATTGTTTTTCCTTATGTCTACTTTTAAATGACGACAATCTCTTCTGAAGGACGCCTAATTTTATGCAACCAAAATATCTTCTTAAAACAAATAAAGATCTGGCTGTCATATTAATTAATTTGAATATTGTTGCATTGTCTTCACTAAAAATAAATCTCTTTCGCTCCTTAAAATGTTACCGGCACCATACAATTGAAAATATCTTAAAAGTAGACTTAGGGAAAAACAATACACGTAAATCCCTATGCTTAGTATTAACACAGATCTACACATACACAGATTGCTAACCTTATGCATTTTTTGGGAAACAAATTTAGGTATACTTAAAAGCGCCCTCTATTGCGGAGCAGTATAAACATGTACCGTTTAAAACTGTAATATGACGCTTATGGATTTATGCGTTAGATGTCGCTGAAACAAAATTAAAGCGCTAAAGTTTGCACAATTCGAATTCCTTAATATTCGTATTATTACAGTGGTATGATATGATAGGAGGTACGTTGAGCCATAATTGTTTAATTTAGCACTGGAGCTACTCATTCGTCGTAAGGGAGTTATTAACAGCGGGTCCCTGTGGTCACAGATACACACGAACATAGGGCAGGTCCTTAAAGAATCGTGAAGGTTTTTTGAAGTTGGCGGAAACTATTTGCGGCTTTAAAGGTCTTGACAGATTGCTAACCGCAAAGGCATACTTACAAACTATGTATATCTCTGCCATCATTAACGTTACACTCTTTACCACGCCGATAAGATATAAGATAGGGAGGTTATTTTCGAAAAGTTGATAGTTTTCGAGTTGTAAGCACAAAACTGCTAAAAAAAATATCTTTTTCAACTTTTTTGTATTTTTTTTCGTTTGTTGCGTCATGAAATTTTGTTAGCAAACCTCAGATTCGGATTCAGCACCCCAAAAAACATATAGAATCAAATAAATCAAAACTACCCCACAACTTGCCTGGTAAAATACAATTAAACTGAATTATATGCACACTTTACCGCTTAAAATTTTTTGCAGCGACATCTAATGCATAAATACATAAGCGTCATATTACAGTTTTAAACGGTACATGTTTATACTGCTTCGCAATAGAGGGCGCTTTTAAGTATACCTAAATTTGTTTCCCAAAAAATGCATAAGGTTAGCAATCTGTGTATGTGTAGATCTGTGGTATTAATATACAGAAGACCTGAAATTGTAGTATGGTCCCTGGCATACGCTGACGATACATTAATATTGGTAGCAGGAAAAAAACGACAGGGGGAAAATGGTGGGGGGTGTAGCGAGATACTGGGTAGTGTAAAATCAAGTTTTCCACTTCCAAAGACGTGTGGTGAAGTGGTGGTCGAAAAACCTATACTTTTTCAAACCTTTTTCAGTTTTTCGTAAATATGGAGAAAATCATATAATTTTATTAGTTATTTAACCACGAAAGTCATTCTTTTGCATCTGAAAACCGATTTGAACTATAAAAACGTGTGTACCTATGTCATTCACAAAACACCTATTTTTTGACATAAAAAATGAAATACGTAGATTTCGTCGACAAGCATTGAAATAAAAAAACACTCTTTTAAATTGATGGTCTGGTGATCGAAGTTAACATTCTCAATACTATAAATTAATTGCAACAGCATATCTGGTATACATTAAGAAAGCAATAAAGTGCTTTGTTTACCCACAAGAAAATCTTTACGCTCGACGATTTTCTATAGCGTCTGAAATGAACGTTGGAGGTGACATAAAGTTAGTTGTATCTTTAACAATACCTAAAAGGATTTCAATGAAACTGTCGCAGCGACAATTGTGGGCTGCGCATATTTAAATAACATTTTGTCTTGAAACGTTAACAACCACGCTCTAACATACCAAAGTTCTAGGCAGTTAGCATTAAGAATATTTCCTTGTTTTCTTTATTTTGGCGTGAACCAATTATTAACACCCCATCAAATTTCGTCTCTCGTCAAGTATTAAATTAAATTACAATAACCCCCGTTGAACCCTGCGTCACATCACATTGTTGACATGGAAGACGGGAAAAGTTAAGGCAATGACAGCAACCTAGTGATCCATGAAACGGAATTTAAATACGTCAAAACAAGCAAATATCACGGAGACATTTTACTATACACAGCGCCAACCCCATCCCCGAAGCTTGTGGCTTCTTTAATGGAAATTTCAATATCCTATTCTCCTCTTACACGTAACACACTTACAACAATTCTTTACGTGCGGCTTTTTTGCACCTTTTTTTTGAGAATGTGAAAGGAATCGCAAGCCGAGACCTATAATAAACCTCCGGTTTTATGGTTAGCTCGTGATTCAGCATACAAACATGCCGTATATATCAAAATGTGAAAACACTATATTTCTGTTAACTTAATTAAATTTGCGAGGGCAAATTAGAAGAAACGCTGAATGCATTTGTCACCAGAAACCACATTTTGGCAAGGGACCAACTTGATAATAGACAACTTTCTTTACTGACGTACCAATTAAAATTCCGATCTTTGATTTTTTCATAGCTCAAGTTTGTGTTTTACCGAGAATTCTCACTTTTAAAAACGAATTTACGCGGATGACCACACAAAGATCTGAGCGGCCCTTTGCGTTAATGATGATTGATTTAATGCCTCGTAAATTATATTCTAACAGCTCAAAGAAATTTATTTAGATGTGTCGTGTGCATTCACGATAGAAATGTACTTCAAGCTCGATCCATTGTCGCCGACTCGCAATTTATTTAGTTTGAGAGGTTGCAAAAGGTTGTCCGACATCTATTTCCTTATACAGTGATGTCGCCAGTGTTTAAATTTTAAAGTCAATACAACAAGGTAGTGTTGTGTCGCATTGGCATTTCAGCTTGCTCTTATTTGTCTCCCTGAACTTTAATGTAAACCGTAAACGCATTTCCACGAGTCTTTCATCTTTTCTTTAAATAAATATTGGCGGCAACAAGTAAATTCTGTCCATTTCGTGAGTAGGTGTTTCTTTCATTACTTGGGGCTTTTATAACTAACGACTGACACCTTTAGAAGGTCTCCAGACAATCATTTCTTTATGTAGTACGACAGATTACGTCTTCAAACTGCGATGAAATGTTAATTTCGTAAGTTTACGATTTTTCGGATAATCTCTGATTTGTTACGATCAGACGAAAAACTGTACACTGACATATCCGGCATCGTTGGCATTTAAAAAGTTTTCCAATGAATCAGGAACATTTGAAATTCAACGAAAAGTCCTCTTCGATACGACATATTTCCAACTTTCACGTTAACTTTCCAAACAGATATGCTAGCCGGAGCTTAAATAAGTAACGTGATAACAAAAGGATACTTATGCCGCACGATAAAGAAGTGTAGGCGTATACCGAAATACCTAGTTATTCTGTTGCTAGCTATTCTCTTTGTAGTTGGTGTATTCCAATATATTTGGTTATTATATTATGCATCAGATAGTAAATACGGTCACATTGAAATGAGTCCGATAGTTCAATATTAAATGCTATCCACAGACACAGAGAATCGAATTGATGAATGAAACACCATAGTTAAAATACGCCAGGCGAACGTAAATGTACGCCCAAATCTGCTAAAAAATGAGTTATTTATGCTGCAATGCACATAATGAGTGTACCAAATATACAATAATCAAAACTCCTATCAATACCAACAATTTATTAATATTGAGTATGCTGCACTAATTTTATTAGAAAAATGTTCTGAATACGCCCCATGCAACGCATTTTGTTATACGAGTGTCCGTTAGATGCCATTTTATTGAAATTGGCAGCAAGACTAATTTTGCGATTAAACGAAAATATTTTCAAAATGACGGCACTTACCCTTAGACCTTTAGAAATACTAACTTTGTTATAATAACTGTGTTTAAATAGCGTGGTCCCTTTTTATCTGATTTTCCCATTCTGCATTCTAAAAAGGTAGTTTTTGTGAAACATTTCTATTTTACATTTGGAAATCATACATTGCGTTTGATTGGAAAGCTTTGACGCTTTTATTTTTTCATAATTACGTTCCTTCTCTTGTATATCAGATGCTCAAATGTTAGAAAATAGGTTGAGGGGCATTGTTATTCAGTGGCGTTCGCCTAATTACAAAAACTTAATTCGATTTAATTTAATATTGTATCACACTTAATACCTACATAGCAATAATCACGTCAAAATTTTAGTAATGAAGATTGAAGACTATTTCAATTTATTATTTATACACGATGAAAGTGTAAAAATGTGTGCTTAGAGCTTTTATTGAAGCTGATCAAAGGTTGTTGAACGGATTGATTTTTGGAACGCCAGGGGAGAGATTTTAAAATCTTTTAAAACTAAGACAATAATATTTTGATAACTTATACTCTGTTTTTTAACTAGGAAGACGGATTTAAAAGTTCCCGCAAAAATCCTTAGTTTCTATTGGCTCCCGCTGCGCCCGTTTTACACCCAGGTAAAATTG